TAATGCAGTATAGCATGGACTCCCACCACCACTCCCTAACCCAGCCCTGACACTAAGGTTTCTATGAGCCAGAGCCTCCCTGGGACAAGGGGGTTAGTCCATTTGGCAGTTCCCTTCCCAACATTTGAACAACGAGTGGAGGAAAAAACAATGGTCAGCATTCTAGTGGGAGCCAGCTAACTCATGAAGCTAAACCCCATACTCTTCCCTAACACACACAGAGCAGCTCTGAATTGGTGAATTTGTGGCCCAGACCTCACCAGCTAAATGCATCACCCTGACTTGAAAAGCCAGCTCTTTTTTTCCTTTAGCTCTCACCACCATTACCATGTCTATGGATGTTTCAGAAAACGTGGGAGGCCTTAGATGGTATGATTTTATTTACTTATTTATTTTAGGCAATTGGGGTTAAATGACTTGCCCAGGGTCACACAGCTAGTAAGTGTCAAGTGTCTGAGGTCAGATTTGAACTCAGGTCCTCCTGACTCCTGAGTGCTCTATCCATTGTGCCACCTAGCTGCCCCTAGATAGTATGATTTTAAGGCCTGAGAAAAATTCCTCTATCCTCACCATTACCCCCTCCATACCCCACCCCAAGGAACATCTGAAATTCTACCATTACAAGTCTTTTGCTTCAGACTCTGTTCTTTATTTGAAAATAAAGCTCATGGGAAAGATAACACATTAAGCCTGTTTTATTTGTTATTTATTCTTCAGGGTGAATGAATTTACCAGACCCTTTCTGGAAAGCTCATATTGAAAGTGAGGGTTATTGGAAGGAAGGAGAGTGTTATTCTCTTGGGTCTCTGAGGAGTAAGGAAGGAAGGAAGGAAGGAAGGAAGGAGGGAGGGGAGGGAAGGAGGGAAGGAAGGAAGGAACAAAGGGACAAGGGAGGGAGAGAGAAAGGAAAGGAGGGAGGGGATAAGCATTTTATTAAGCACCTACTATGTGCCAGGCATGGTGCTAAGTACTTTAAAAAGATCTCATTTAATCCTCACAACAACCCATTTTACACTTGGGGAAACTGAGACAAATAGAGGTTGTGATTTGCTCAGGATCACACAGCTAGGAAGTGTATGAAGATGTGGATTTAATAATAATAATAATAATAATAATAGAGGCCAAACATTTATATAGCACTTACTCTGTGCCAGATGCTATGCTAGTTTCTTCTTTGTTGAGTTGTTTTAGTTGTGTCTTTCCCTTCATGACACCATTTAGGGGTCAATGATACTTGAGTGGTTTGCCATTTCCTTCTCCAGTTCATTTTACAGATGAGGAAACTGAGGCAAACAGGGTTAAGTAAATTGCCTAAGGTCATGCAGCTAAGTGTCTGAAATGTGATTTCAACTCAGGTCTTCCTGACTGTGGGCCCAGCACTCTATGCATTGCACCACTTAGTGGCAACAGAAGAAGGAATTCTACTAAGGGAAGAAAGGGCACTGAAAGAGGATGTTGAGAGCAGCTAAAACCAATACAAGCTATATTTCAGTGTTCCAAGAGCTGGTACTAGTTACAGATCCCCAGAAGGCAGGCCCAGGGACTTGCTTGGTCCCCCTTTAGCTAGATCTGGCTCAGTTATCAAATTTGTGCCACTCCCTGAGTTCATAGATCTTCTTTGGAGTGTGGCATTCTGGTACTGGATGTGGGAGTCAGAAGAGATGTGGACTTAAATCCCACCTCTGACATCAGCTGGGTGACCATGGGCAAGCCAGTTCCTCGAAGGCGTGGACTGCTTCATCTTTGTATTCCCAGCACCCTAGCACAGTACGCAGCAAATAGTGGGTGCTTAATAAATGTTTGTTGACTGATTGATTACTCAGTAAAACCATACCTAGTACTTACCTCTGATGGTTATTATGAGCTGCAATTTGGAAACTGTGTGAATATATATGTATTTAAATAAATGTGTGCGCCATCTGCAAAATTTAAGGGTCTATACTGCCTGGTGAATATGGCTAAACAAATTGAAGCATATGGTAATAATGGAATGTGACTTCATCATAATAAGGGAAGGGAGGCAGAAGCATAATGGAAAGAAGATGATATTCAAAAACAAAGTTTCTCAATAAAAATCTGAGTATAAAAATTTGAACAGCTATATTGGCAGGTATTATTACTATTACTACTACTACTGCTAAACTGATTTCTTCCGGGCCTATTGGCAGACCAGTTTCCATCAGCACATGCTAACTGGGGGGATCCTGCTTAGAACCATGCAGGTTCTAGTCTTCTCTGTCAATATCTAGGAAGAGCGAGGAATTTTAGCAGGGACAAAGATTTGAGCTCAGACACCAGGGAAGAGACACTGTCATTTGCTCCTATGATTTTCCGTGAAAATTGCAAGTAGGTTTTTATCTGCTTAGCATGTTCAGAGATAGAATGTTCCCTAAATATGGGTCTAGGAGACTGTAGGGTCTAGGCTCAGACATATCCCTGGGGGATATGTCATTAGTATAGAAGAATAGGAGAAAAGGGTGGTCAGCTTAACATCAGAGACAAGAGAAATAGGGCAACCTTCTCAAAGTTTAGTCATCTCAGGAAAGGTCTCTTCTTTCCAGTTTTTTTCACCCAACCCTAATGGCTCATGCTGTGTGAGAACCAACCTCACTCCAGCCTAACTGAAAGTGCTGCTGTTTCTCTGACACAACAAAGAGTAAAATCTAAGTGACTCATGTTCCTCAGAGATCAATAAGAGTCAGATTATCTTCAGGGGGACTTGTCATGGTTAGGCAAGGAAGGATGAAGGCTCTGAATACCACCCCCCAGATAACAATGTCCAGCCCTGCACTCCACTGTCCAACGTGGGTCCTCCTCATTATCCTCTCCCTTCACAGAGATAGGTGCAGGGAGAACAATATTCTCAGAGAGAGTTCAGAGCCTTACTATGACAGAAGACATTCTTCCTTGGGTGAGAGAATCTGACATAAGAATGGCCTACAACCAAATCTGATATCCCACTGGAGGTGCCTCAGGTGCTCTACATTTCTGCCCCTGATTCCCAATGGGATCTTTAGCCATTATTCATCCTCTTGCCTCAAACTCCCCATTTTCTCAAAAAGAAATAATAAATCTGGTGTAAATCCCTTGGCTCAGTGCTAGTGAAGACCTCTTTCTTGGATATACTATGAATGGTTTGAGACTAAAAACACAGAAGCTAAATAACCTACTAATGGGGAATGAACTCAACATAAACTGTGGTCTCCTAGACAGTAGGACGGTTGGAGTGAAGTCTTGTCCACGAAGCCTTCCCTGAATAATCCCATCTCAAAATGATCTTTCTTTGATTTTGAATTTTTCCAACACTTGGGTAGATACACCATTACCAAGCTCTCACATGCCTTCCTTGCCCTTTCCTGCTTATATGCTATGTCTCATCAAACTAGATCACAAACTCCCTAAGGGCAGGAACTGAGCTTTCTGCTTCTTTTACATTTGTCATAGGAACTCACTTAATCCTTAATAAATACTCATTGCATTTCCTCCTTCCTTTCTTCATACATATTGTCTTTGTCTACTCAAAGCAGGAAGACTCACATTCACCAAAAAGGGCAGACAGGGAATTATACTTGCTCAGTCTTTATTTTCATAAGTCCACAACAGGAACCAGAGAGTTCTAGCTATATTGAACAATAGTGACCTTTTTGCCCAGTTATGCGAGGGGAGCTTGGTTCTATCTGTCTGTGTTTCCATTGGACTGAGTATCCCTGACTCATTTCTCTGGACACAAGTCCAGAACTTCCTGAACAACCACTCATTGGTGACAAAGATAGAGTCAAGGTTCCAGAAGAACTGTTAGTATAGGAGTTTAGGAGTCAAACAAGGATTTTAAATCATAGGTTCACTGATTCAGAGCCCAAAAGGCCTTCAGAGGTCATCTAGTCCAGGGGTGGGGAACCTGCAGCCTCGAGGCCACATGTGACACTCTAGGTTCTCAAGCGCTGCCTTTGACCAAATCCAAACTTCAGTCCAATCCCTTCACTTTGCAAATAAAGAATCTGAGCCTTAAAGAAGTTAAGTGATTTGCCCAAAATCACACTGATAATGATAGAATCACATCCTCTTACTCTAAACCCAGTATTCTTTCTACAATGATGTGATGCTCTTTAGAAGCTATTCTCACATTGAGAGACTTATTTGAACTGATACAGAGTGAAATAAGCAGATAGATAAACAAATATATACAATAATAACAACAATGTAAAGAGTGAAAGTAACTACCGCAAAATAACCAAAAGATAAATGTTGCAAAATCATAAAAAATGAAATTGAAACAAAGGAACAAATATGAGAAGATATCTACACACACACACACACACACCTTTGCAGAGGTAGGGGGAATAGGAGGCAGTCCACAGATGTGAAATATTGCCTAAAATGTCAGATTTTTTTGATGTGTTAATTGCTTTTGCTGATTTTTTTTCTCTCTTCTTCCACTTTAAAAAATTCTTTGTTTGGCTCTCACTGAGAGGAAGGAGGAGGGAAATAGGGAACTCCATCTGATTTGAAAACAAAAGATATCAAATACAAATTAATTTTTTAAAAAGTTTTCTCAGGGCTCCTTGGTTTTCTTTTAGAACATTATTGCAAAGAAGATCACAAGGATGGACCCTATTCATCCTTAGGAAAAAACAAGAATCGGGGACTTTCTAACAATTGTCAGGACTTAGAAATTCACTTCCTGATGGCATGGCACTGAATATGAAACCTTTCTAGACTGCTTCCATTTCCGAGGGCCTCTGGTTTTCTGGTGCTACCAGAGCCCATTAGAGTAAGAAGTAATAAATAAAGTTCAATTTCTAAGCATGATTTAGGGGAAAAGTCAGGAAAATCAGAGAAATTCTCACTTGTATGAGTGGTTCAACACCCTGAACTCATCCCCCAAATAATAGAACTGAGTGACTTGAAAAAGTATAGTTTCCGGTGCAGTTATCTCACTGTTGACGGCCCCTCAAAGATTTATAGTCAAACAGTGAAGTGTAAATATCTATGATACTTACGGTTGGTCAGAGAAGGTCTCCTGGGTGGCTTTGGCCACATAATTAATGGGTACCAGCCCAGTACTTGGCCGACCAGAAAGCCTCCTGGCAAAGATGTAGTCACCCTCTTCTTTGATCACAAAAAGCTTGTCTCCTCGGCTCACACTCAGCTCATCTGCACACCTGGCTGTGAAGTCATATAGAACCATGAAAAGGACCGCAGGAGGGGGGCTGCTTGATTTTGGAGAGAAGGGTTCTGGGTCAGGGTCAGGATCAAGGTCCATTGTGACGGGATCAGGACCTGGATATCTGGGGATGCAGTCATCAGGGATGCTCGTGGGCCAAAGCTTGTTCCAAAAGAATGATAGGAAAGTCAAGTGTTTCCTTAAAAAAGGCTCCATCCCAGCTGCTGACAGACCCCCAGGGTACCAAGATTGTTTCATAAGGACCTGCCCAGTTGGAAACAGGAGATAGATCTGAGTTCACCTGGCCCAGATGGGACAGATCTCCCCAAGCATCTCCCTGCCTGTGTGAGGAACTGCCTCCGACTGCTCCCTCACTCCAGGAATGTCTCTGTGTCGTCTTTTCTATGCAAACTTCTGAGGGTGGAAAGTGAAACTGGAAAAGCCTGTACAACTTGTTTTCCTGAACTCCTTAGCTGAAATACACACACACATACACATACACACACACACACACACACACACACACCTGGGTCCCTAGCCGCAGCTGGAGCGTCCTTAGGTTCAAGAATACAAACACATTTTAAGGCTTAGGGAGATCATAAAATTTGACCTCTTGCAAGTCATACTACTTAAAAAAGTTATTTCAAAAGGAAAGCAAGGCTCAGCCAAGGGGCAGGGTTGGGGGAAGGGGAGAGAAATTCTAAAATTTTTTTCCTATTATAGATCTCAGTTTTTTCATACATAAAAGGATGGGCCAGATGATCTTTAAGCTCTTTTACTGACATGAAAGCCTGGGATTCTAAGCCTTCTCTGTTCATCTTGTAATGAACAGGGATGTCTCTGTGATTTTGGAGGTAAATTATTCTTTTGGATGGAAATATTTGTCTGTGTTCAATCCCAAGAATTTTAGGATTTTGTGATGTTTCTCTTGTCCTCTTTCCCCTGCTTAAGGAACAAGATACTAGTTAGCCAATGCTTATCGGGAACATGTGGGATGATTCCAAAAGTTCAGCTCAATAGCACTAATGACTCAGTTTAAAACCCGCCAACATAGGTGGTTTTCCAGAAAGAATCCTGGTGAAGAAGTGGTGCCTGCCAGGAAGCCAGAATGGAAGGGACTTTTACTGTGAGTGTCTTTTCCTAAGTAAATGGCAATTTCATCATAGAGTGCCAGGACCAACCCACATGAGAGGAACTAGATAGTTAGTAAACTTGGGAGCTATCCAGTCTACTATTCGGATAGATTTCCTTTTTGTGAACTTTTGATTACCTAGAACCCTGTGGTAATATTTCTGTAGTTCTCTCTACATAAAGGATTGAACTGCTCCATTCAGACCCCTGAAAATCTGCTTAGGTTCTTTACCTACTCAAATTCATGTTCATGAGTTCCTGTTTCTTCTAAACTTCTCAGACCAAAACCAAAACTGAACACATGACATCATAATAAGGTAAAGTATAAACACAATGCAATGCAAATAAACACATTAAATCAGGCAGCAAGTACAGGGCTCACTGGCAAGAGTACTGCCTCTGGAATCAGATGATAGTAATAGGGACTATGATTTTATTGATATAGGGAATTAACAAATGAGGAAACTTTCTTTCTCCTGAGGTAGGTCATCATCTTACAACCTGCAGACTTGGAAAGTTTCCTACAGCACTGAGAGATTAGGTGATTTGCCCAAAGTCATTCAATCAATATGTATAAAGGGTGGGATTTGAACTTACATCCTCCTGGCTTCAAAGCTAGATCCCTTATCCAGGGCAGCTGGGTGGCTCAGTGGAAAAAACACCAGATCTGCAGTCAAGAAGACCTGAGTTCAAAGCTGGCCTCAGATACTTATTAGCTGTGTGACCCTGAGCAAGTCTGTTTGCCTCAGTTTCCTCAGCTATAAAATGGGAATAATCACCTACTTCCCAGTGTTATTGTGAAGACTAAATGAGATAATAATTGTAAGTCACTTGGCACGTAGTATGCACTATGTAAATGGCAGTTTTTATTATCCACTACAGCATGCTGTTTCTCAAATCTTTCCTCTGATGTTTATACAGTGAGAACCACTCCCTCTCCCCATCCTGAAGGCCTCCCCCTCCCAGGTATGGACAATACTTTAATTCCTGGTTATAGACACCACATGAGTGATTTGAGGGGCTGCTTCCAGGCATGTGGTGGCCTAGTACTGAAAGGCCTTTGCATTTTAGTAAAGCTTGGTATACTAAACCCAGAGTACAGTTAAAAGAGCAGACAACTTCTAGATCAACCCTCTTCATCATGACTTTTCTGTGTGCCAAGTGGTTCACTCTATCTCTAGACTCTTGTGAAGTGGCAAGGTGGGAGAGGTGCTCATTCTCTTCTTATTATTACTATGCCCTGGTGTACCCAGATTAAGAAGGTACTGTGTTCTATGAGCACAGCAGAATTGAAGTAGCTGAAAAGAATTGGGAGACGTGCAAATTTAGAGAATCCACCCCGAATGTTCACCTGGACAACCTGCGATAGAGCATTCTGAGCTCATATTGGTCTGATCAGCCACAGTGAGACATACTGTAACATGACTCTAAGATAGTGATGTCATTTTGGTCCTCTGCACGAATGAAAGACAACAACCAAGCAACATGAACTGTGAACTCAGTTAGGCAAGCTTGCCCTGAACTTCCAGCATCCTTTTCTGTTTAGGTTTCCTTTCTGGAGTAGGGGACCAAATACAGTTCTGGAGGCGGACATGTCCCAGTTCAGTGGGTAACCTAATGGGTCCAAAAGATCCAGAGATTGAGTGTCTAATAGGAGGATCAGTTAGTTCAGGGAGCAGCAAGAACGATTTGCTGCAGAAGCAACTGAATGTAAAGTTCAGAAGACATCCAGGTTTTTAGTGGAGCTATAGTACAGAAGCAAGAAGAAACGCAAAATGCCCAATTAGCAATGCCACCAACTACTTTATGTTCTGTTGAATTATCATCCTCCCAACTATTGTCCCAGAACTTCTTTTTATGTTTGGTTGGGTTTTTTTTTTTTGGTTAGGGAGTGGGGTTAAGTGACTTGCCCAGGGTCACACAGCTAGTAAGTGCTATGTGTTTAAGACCAGATTTGAACTCGCGTCCTCCTGACTCCTGGGCTGGTACTCTATCCACTGTGCCACCTAGCTGCCCCCTCCTTTTTTGTTTGTTTGTTTTCTTAAGTTTTTTTCCTTTTTTTTTCTTGGTGAGGCAACTGAGGTTAAGTGACTTGCCCAGAGTCACACAGCTAGTTAGTGTTATGTGTCTGAAGCCAGATTTGAACTCAGGTCCTCCTGATTCCAGGGCCGGTGCTCTATCCACTGTGCCACCTAGCTGCCCCTAAAAGTTTTTTTTTTTAATCATCTTATGGTAAGCCAGTACAGAATAGTCATCAAATACCTGCCCATGCTCTGAATCTGGGACAAGGCCCCTCCATTATGTATCATGCTTTTCCAGAAGCAGGTTCACACAGCTTCCATGGGAGCTGATGCCAGGCAGGGTTTACTGTGAATTCTACTAGATTCAACTGCTAAAGACTAGATTACCTTTCCCCAATCACCATTATAGTATTATCTTATATCACTCCTACTCCTCATTTCCAAAACTGTCACCTCCTACATCTCCAGCTCATTCATCCTTATTCTACATACTTCCTCACCTGGTCAGCAATGCAATCAACAGAACAGAAATAGTGTTAATTATCCTCCTACAGGATAGCTGCTAAAGTCTCTCAACATGGAAACAATGAAGTCTCAAATCCTTCAGCCATTGTTTCTGTGATGTTTCAGTATCTCAAAGGGCTAGCACCAGCAAGAATGAGGGGACTCAAGAATTAGCCTCTGTAGGAGTATGCCAAAGGCCAGGGAAAGCACACCAGCTCTATGCTCATTTTCCCCCACCCCCTTCCTTTTAATCTCTATCTCTTTCCCCTTTTCCTCCTCTGGCCTTGATTTTCCATGCTGAACCTTCCCCTTAGCCCTATTCTTTCCAGAGACCTAGCCCTGCCTTTCACTCCCATACATCCATAATCCATGCAACTCAGTTGATGAAATCACCATGTCTAGGAGCTAGGCACCGTAGGACTTGTGAACAAACAAAAATAATAGTGGAAGCATTCATTCCTGAAAGAAGTGCACGTTCGTTCTCTCTCTCTCTCTCTCTCTCTCTCTCTCTCTCTCTCTCTCTCTCTTCTCTCTCTTCTCTCTCTCTCTTTCTCTCTCTCCCAGCATCAGTAAGTCTCAGAAAGAACACATTTTGTTGCAGCAGTAAAAGGGCCGCTAGGGCAATAAAGATCAGGGGTAGGCTAAACTTGGAGGACTTGCTTTATATTTAGTACAGTCTTTATATATTCATTCGTTCATTTGTTTGTTTTTAACATTCTGTTTCTTAGTTCCAAATTGTCCCTCCAGCCCCTCCCTCACCTACTGAGAAGGCAAGCAATATGATACCCATTACACATGTGAAGTCATGCAAAACATACTGCCATCTTATAATGTGGTTCAGAGACTAGAGTCAGGAAGTCAAATATTTAAAGTGCTTAGAGATTACAAAAAAGGTCCCATCATCTCAGACTTTCCTCCTTTAGAATCATTTCCCATTGATGATCTAATTCCCTGGTAATTGAAAAGCTCTTTCTTCATAAAAACTACTCACAAGACCTCTTTAGGGCATTTGCCAAACTTGCTATCCTCACTGAGCCCTAGGCTCAAGCACATTTTATGTGTATGTCACATACCATTTTATGTGTATGTCACAAAGTAGATTGTGAAGGCTGAGACCATAAGTAAAGTCTTGATTGATTGAACCAGATTGATTGAATCTTGGCCTCTTTTATATCACTATCCAAAAGACCAGTATGCACTTGTCAAGGAAAAACAGCTCTCCTCTTTCCCTGTTTTTGTTGGCAAGGGTGCCAGAAAACAATGTCTCCAGGATCAGAGGGAATTCCCAAATAATGCCCCCAAATTACATTTCCCAAAATATTTCTCCCTTTACCTGGAATAGTGAAGAAAAAAAATTATATGCAAATAATTCCAACAAATGTTATTGACTAGTGAAGGCTTTGTGGGATCAGATCTAGAAAGTAATCTCTGATTTCAACTTCTTAGAATTTGTTAAGTGTGCATATCATGTGGATATCTACTTATATCTGCTCAATGTTTTACAAAGGAAATGCAGACCATACACTCACCTGGAAGCAGAGATATATACAGGATGACCCCTGGAAGTCCCAAGACATAGGATTTCTATCATGAAAGACTTGGACCTCACAATGGTACAGAGACAAATGTCCCTTGGCATCTCTCTACACATCCTTCCAGAAGAGGACAAGGACAAGGACTCACTGATGAAGGTGTATGTGTATATATATTTTTTATTGACATATATATATATATATATATATATATATAAGAGAGAGAAGAGAGAGAAGAG